GAAAAGAACACAATAAACTTTTAATTTCCTAACTTTGAGAGGAAAAGAACACAATAAACTTTTAATTTTCTAACATTGAGAGAAAAAGCAGGGAGAAATGTGCATGTGTTGAAATAGAATGTCCATTAGAATGAAATGACAATATTTTTGAATTCTGAAAGGTCTGCTTTTACACAGGTGTTATAAAGAGTGTTACAACATTTTCTGTAATACTGATGATTAACTATAACGATTATGTGTAGAAACGTCAAAGTAATCAAGCCGGAAATAATAGTGCATAAATATAAAGAATACCATGAATTGGTATCGCAGTTCAGTGCGCACACCTACATTTACGAGGCTACACCCATACAGTGAACAATCCATTAAGTCTCAAGATTATAAACACCAATCGGACTTATACACCTAAAGACTTCCTCCTTGATGTTGCCGCTGTCATGTCGAATCTTTTTAATGGCCTTATCCAGCGAGCACCACTTGTCTTCAAACTGCATGGTGAAATCTCATTGGTTGGCAGTACGCTTTCTCCCGAAAGCTTCTAATCCCTCTTCCGAAGGACGAAATCAATGACGCTCAAAGCTCTCAAACTCACAGACTTTTTCTCTGAAGATCTTCTATTCAATCCCTATCAAAATGAGCTGCAAAAAGATGCCTTAAAATAAGGCTTCACAACATCCTCCGAGAATTAACTCAAATTCAATTTGAATATCCTACACTTTCTCCCACAATTCTCTCTTGACTAATTACTTACAATTCTCTCATCTCCAAATATACTCGCAGCCCCTATCTTTATTCAGGTTTCAAATTAACTTCAAATCAATAGTTTGATCACCATATTTGAATTTCAAACCAATTCCTTTACACAAGCTGTCAAGTCATATCTCATATTTACTTCTTGTTCAGCACCTTCCAAACTAATCATTAAGCAAGCCAAACATCTCCACGTACGTGTACAATATATATCCCAAGGATAAACCAAGCTTGATTCAGACATTCTTGTACTCCACGTGATTAGTTTTCTTCCTCCATTAATTCGGACTTGTCAACCCAAATGTGCAGCCCTTTTCCACGTAATTATCTCTCATAATATCTGTAAAATCTCCTAATTTAAATACCTCAATCATACTAAAACTGTCTCTTCTTTCCTCAAATAGAACTTATCCCAAATCTCTAAGAATATTCATAATTTCACAAGCAATCACATCTGTTCAAATCTTCTTTATAAACACCAGTTGCCAAAAATACCTGTTTTAAAATTTTTACGACTAATGCCAATAAATTGCCAACTAAAGTCCTAACAAATTCAATGTAGGGTTGATTAAAAAAAAAACTTTAAAATTTAGTTGTATTCTACCAAAATATCTGAGTACGTACATATTCTTATAATGGACTAGTAAAATAGTCATTATATTATGGCTGTATCTATTGATACTCTCCTTCCCTATTCTACTTTTCACACGCTTGATTTTAATAAAATTTCTTATTAATATTGAATTTCCCATCAATAAAATTACTTTTGACGACGAAAGTATTTTGTAAAAAATACTCATCCACACACCCCGTCTTAAAAAATTGTATGTCCTTCTAAAAGTTATTGGTTGTGTTTAGAGTTGTTTTTGTTTTTATTTTTCACGTTTTTCAAGAAAGAAAAAATGAAAACGGGAGAGAAATCGTATTTGGCACAATTAAAGACAAAAAAGAGAAATGAAAATGACTTTTTGGTTTAGTGTAAAATAAGAGAAAAATGAAAAACGACTTTTAGTCATTTTTCATTTTTTATTTTCGTTTTCTCCTCTCTCGAGCAGAGAGAGAGATACATTAATAGATTTTTTTATACTGAAAATAATCTTTTGATAAAACTATCAAACTCATTTTCAAAAATGATTTATGTCTGAGATTGAAAACGTTTTCATTTTCATTTTCATATAAAAAATAAAATTATTTTGAAACGAGTTCCAAACGCACCAATTATGTCCTATTTTCTTTCAAAGGAATAGTAGTGATGGATTACAACATGAAATAGTCATGCGGCATGGAGCTAATAAAATTCACCAACCGGTTAACCGGTTGCTGCCCACCATTTAACCGAACATCGCATGCCAATTTCAACAACACTTTATCTTTTATCTTTTGAATTCAAACTGGAAGTTTATTTGTTATTTTGTTATTTCCTTTTCTAGATCGGGGTTAATATTAAAGTTTAGATAGGTTAGTTTCATGCGATGACAGATGATTATCTATGTGTTGAATTTTAAAATTCCTTCATCAATTTTAATGCATGTAGCAAAAATGTCAAAAAATAAAAGTTTAAGGACAAATATACTAAAAGTAATAGTTAAGACACCAAAATATCATTATGCTCAAAATTTATAGACAGTGCCGGTTACCTCAATTAGCCTCATATATATGAGATAATTTAGTCTTTTATTGTTTAAAATTATGATCACAAAATACATAATTGAATAATTTTTCTAAATATTCGGATTGTTTAAATAAACGTAAGATTTTGGTATCTTGTTCCATTAGTGAGTTCTAGTTATTGTAGGGAGTGAAGAAAGAAAATTTTGCAAGCCTCTTAGTCCAAATAAAACTACTCCAACTGCTTTTATACAAGTACTGTGTATATGCACTACATTTAATATTTAAGACAATTTTTGACACCTGAGAGAATTGTACTTAAGCACTCTTAATTTAGTTTTCAATTTTTCTAGAATAATTGTGCTTAGGAGTTCATTTACGTTTTAAAGCAACCCAAAGCTAACACCGCCAGTGGGCACCCAACTTTGACGAAGATTTTAATGTCCATTTTAATAACTCCCTGCTCATTGCAAAGCAAGAGTTTCTCCCTAAAACTAGAAAAATAAAACTACCGATAGTTTCAATTTTCTCAACTGTTTTTAGCCGTTAAATTTATATTAAAAATTATTTTTTTTAATTTAATTAGATCTAATAGTCTAAAAATTGATCTTATCAGTAGGACGGCTTCAATTTAATTTGATTTTAATTAGATCTAATAGTCTAAAAATTGATCTTATCAGTAGGACGGCTTAACAGAAAGAGTCCCTTCCAAAGCTCTTTAAGCTTGAGTTTGGGAATTGGGACCATGCACCTTCAGCGTTGAGCCGTCGGGAGGAAGCTACATTCGTTGTTGGAAGTCGTCGGAATAACCATTTCTTCAAAATGTGACATCTTCATTATCCGAACTTTCATAGATGTGATTTTTCATCCCCAATCAACCACCTTGATGAGACAAAACAAGACCCATACAACTCCGTAGTATGTCCAAAAACCGTTGTCTGAGCCTCTATGATCATGACCGTGATGCCGCCGCCGCGGCCGCTGCCGCCATCATTCTTGTAGTTCCCGAAGGTGCAGGTGTTTGACACATCCTGCACCAACAATCTCACAATGCTGAGGGGCTCAAATCTGCAATGAGAAGTTGTTGAGTCACCCCTGGCCGCCGCCCCTGGTCCATTTCTACCGATCTAGAAGTTAGGTTAAGATCAGGCCCCGGGTATTAAAAATCCACAACCAATTTTCAGTTTCTTCAGTAGGTGTATTGATAATTCAAACATGATTGAGTTTTAGATTTCTCCGAGTCAGTTTAGATCTTGTTGCAAGCTTGAATAAACAAAAAATATATATATTTTTTTTTATATACACAATAAGTAGAACATTTTAGAAGTAGATCTCCAAGTTGTACAAACGTCAAAAGAATAATTCCAGTTTCGAAAAAGAACTCCACTTTCTTTTTGTTTTCGAATGAAAAGATGTATAACATAAAGCGCAAACAAGTAGATTGATCACAGATTCACATCAAATAAATATCTTTCACTACCAAGTTCCACTGTAGTACTACTTAAAACATACAAAAAGGAAATCTCAAAAAAAAAAAAAAAAAAATTCTTTGGCAAATCATCGAAAACAGAGAAACAGTAGTACTCAAAAGACAGAGAAACCACACTACAAACAGTACAACCAGTAATTGACGCTTACTCGTTTGGTTCATAAAATTTAAATAAAAAAAAATTAAACAAGAATTTAAATTTTGTGAGAACCTTATTAAATAAAATTCAACATTCTTCATTTAATATTTCCTTTAATGTTTTTCTTTTCTTTTTTTCGATATTTATGACTCGTATTTTATTATAAAAAAAAAATCGTTAGAATTCAAATCCTAATGAAAACAGTACTCTTATGCACCCAATCACTCCTTTAGAACATGTTAAAATTTGGTTAAAATTAACGTGTGATCTAATTTACTAATTTTTAAAAACATGTTATTTACTTTAGAAACACATATAAAATATGCTATTCAGTGTGTTTTCTCACAATTTTAAGCCCTTGTGGGTTATGGTTTATGACTTATTAAATCTATTTTTCACTTCTTCCTAATATTTTCCTCAAATCTCACCGTTATTTACTTTTTTTAATTTTTGATCCGTAATTTGGCACGCGTAGTTTAGTATTACTGGTGTCACTTTTTAGATCTTTGAGTTTGATTTGCATTTTTATATAATGTTTAAATGCTATGTGCAAATGTAAGTTTTTTTTTTTTTTTCCTTCTTTAAAACGCTGATACTTTCAATACATGAATAAACCTGAACTAGTAGCAATCGAAACAAGAAACGATGTGCGTTTAAAAATAAGTTAATATATACGACAAAAAGTCCGAAACTTTTGCACGCTATTTGTCTACTAGACATTTCTTCCATTTGAAAACGATAAGATTTTCTCTCTCTTTCTTTTTCTTTTTCTTTTTTCTGAAAAATGACAATCAAACAAAGACTGTGTTTGCTTTTTGTTAGGACTGTAAAAAAAACCATTTTAATTTTGAGTTTAGAGGTTCGATTAAAAACCGAATCGACAATCCAAAATTTTTTTTGAATGTTGTCGTTTTTTGCTCTCATTATCCTATTTGTTGTCGTTTTTTTTTTTGCCTCTCTTCTAAGAAGTCTCCACTGAACTCTCACTCTCCTCATTTCTTTTCTTCCATTTACTCTCTCACTCTCACAGTCTCGACTCTCGGTGATTTGGGGAAAGAAACCCTAGCCGCCGGCCGCCGCTCCAGCTCTCTCTTCAGTCCTCCTCACACGTCCGCCCTCTGCCAAACGGTGAAAATTTGTTCGTTTTATCCACTCTCCAGATCAAACGGTGGAAATTTTCTCTCGAACAAGTGCGAGCAACAAAGTAGTTCCGAATCAATTTTCTCAGCCTTCGATCGGCGTAGAAAGAGGTTTCGCTTTCTTCTAATCTGTTTCTCCATTTTCGAATTCCAATTATTTCCATCTTGTTTGTTTGTTTTCCTCAGTTTTCAAATTTTTTTCCATTTTCTCCGAATAATGAAGCTAAGCTAATAATTTAGGTTTTGATGGGGTTTCATTGAGTTAATTTAGGTTTTTGGTTCGTATTCTCTTTTTTTTTTTTCATTTGATTTTCTGATATATGTGAACACATTATAAAATCATCGATCTAGATGATGCAGGAATCAATACAAACATTGCCTTAGAAGTTCTGTATTGATACATTTAAGTATTTTCATAAATTTGTACGCGCGTTTAGATATTTATATATAGAATGTTATTTAGCCTGAGTGAGATGTAATGTAGGCATCTTTAGCGTTGGTTAGCATTTGTACATTGTGTGCAGGTGATTCAGTACTGGGAGGTCAATTTTATCCGGGTGCGTATTGGGATACATGAAATAAAAGGTAACACATTGGTTTGACAGTAGTTTGTATTTTGGTCCTCTAAATGTGATATCGAAAGCTTGAATTATAAGTTCAGTAAAATTTAGGACAATAAACAATCGATAAGAGCCGTAGGGCTGAGCGGTTAAAGGTCACATTTGCTCATATGGTAATTTTTCAATTTAGCAAAGATTTCAATCAGAGAGACTAACATCGCATTTAAGAGTTTTGCAACCGTAAATGGTTAACGGTTGTGATGTATATTTTATTTGGGCTGTCTATAAACATCTCTCCCAATTGAGCAGAAACCAAAACTAATCTCATATTTTCAAAATGCCTAGTCTTTATTAATATGGATCCTTTTCCACTTGTGAGATTTCTACCCACGGAAGTCCAAAATTATTTAGAACTGGTTGGTCTAAAATATATTAATAAAACTTAAAACGAAAACAACAAAATGAATGAAGTTTGACTGGATGTGTGAGAAAGTGCCTCGACTAGCACATCAAGCAACACTCCAAAATGAATGATTGTGTTTAAGCTTGATCCAATAGTACTAAATGTCACTGTTATCTAAATCCTTATGTTTGAAATCGTTTCTTTTATCATTTTGGTTTAAGCTTGAAATTAGTATGATTCATATTTACGAATTAGACTTTCTTTTCTTTTATGGCATAATACTTGATTATATGTAATGAAAGATTCTAAAAATTAGTAATCATTAAAGCTGGCATCATATGGATGATGTTGTTTTTAATTTGTTTAAATTGGATCTTGGAAGGGCTTGGATTCTTAATTCTTATAGACGTCTTCATCGGAAAAGTAAAAAGAGGTAGAGCCTCAGTCTAATAAAAAGGAAACCAAAACTATTGAAATACAAGAGACAACTGAGGAAGAAGGGAAAGGTACTAAGAAAAGGAAGAGAGCCCGATAAGTAAGCCCGGTTTGGCAGCATTTCACGAGGGATGAAAAAACTAAGAAGGCTACTTGCAAGCATTGTGGTGTCACTTATGCCGCTCAAAAAAGAATGGCACGTCTACAATGAAAGGGTCATGTAGAAAGTTGCTTGATGAATTAAGAGAATAAAAATAAACAAAAGACCATTCAATTTACCAAGAAGACCGGCGCATATGATGAGGATGTTGCTACTAGTAATAGACACTAAGAGCTTGGTCTAAGGAGGGGTATAAGAGAGCCATTTTGGAGTACATCGTATTGGATGAGTTACTGTTCCGACACGTGGAAGGTAAAGGGTTTAAGCGCTATTCGGCGTACTTGAATCCTAGAGTGTTTGACATTTCAAGGATAATAATTGCAAGGGATGTTTGCCATATGTTTTTGGATGAGAAGAAGAATTTCAAGAAAGTTTTGGGAAAGCAACGAGTGTGTTTAACGATTGATACTTGGACATCAATTCAGAACATTAGTTATATGTGTTTGACCGCTCATTGGATTGATAAAGATTGAAATATGCAGAAAATGATCATTAATTTCATCCAAGTTCCGAATCATAAAAGAGAAACAATTTCACAAGAGATTTTGGCTTGCCTTAATGATTGGGGAATAACTGCGTTGTTCACAGTTACAATAGACAATGCATTGTCTGATGTGGCTATGGACAGGTTGAAGAGAAAAGTCAAATAGCCCGTTTAGTTCATTGATTCGAGTTAAGATGTAACTTTATGTGAGAGCTTTTTGTAGCAAAAAAGTTAGATGTGATTGTTTCTGAGAGCTTTTTACTGTAGCAAAACTCAAATTGGTGAAATGAACATGGCCAAAGATATCTCCAGTTTTCTCGACTTAGATGGCCAAACACTACATATGTAATGTGTCTGTCACATTCTCAACTTGATTGTTAATAATGGGCTCACAGACTTAGCATATTCTATTGCAAGCATCTGCAATGCAGTTAGGTATGTTAGGTCCTCACCTCAACACCTTAAGAAGTTTAAAGAGTGCATGAAGGAAGAAAACATCAACTCAACTGCCCTATTATGTTTGGATGTGAAGACGATGTGGAACTTTACATACTTAATGGATCAAAACTATTGTGTTTACTCTGAGGAAGTCATAAAAGATAAAAAGATAGAGGGTCCACTAAATGAGACGGATTGGGACAATGCAAAGGTTTTGCAGAGGTTTTTAGGAAAGTTTTACACTTTGACGAAGAAGTTTAGTGGTTCATATTATATCACTTCAAACTTCTATTTCAAAGATATTTGTGCTGTCAAACGAGAGTTGATTAAGTTAGAGGAGTGTGATGATCCTCTTTTGAATGAAATTGCAACGATGATAAATAAGAAGTTTGATAAGTATTGGGAAAATATCAAGAAAATGAATCACATGATGTTTTTTGGCTTGGTTCTTGATCCAAGATATAAGTTGGATTATCTTGCTCTTGCCTTCAAGTGTATCTATGATGATTTGACATTTGCCACATTATTAAGCGGGGTTGAGGACACACTGCATAGATTGTATAAGGAATATCATGATCGGGCTCCTCCACCTTAAGCTCCTCGTCGTCCCCCCCTAACTCTACCGTTGGCCATTCACAACCGGCTAAACCTCAATTTAGAAATACAAGGTCAGCTCACTCATCAGAAACTTATTTTGGTTCTACTTCAAGTCGTTCAACATTTACGATCTCTAGTAAACCCATCTCAATGTTGGTTATTGATGATGAGATAAAGGCAGCAATCTTTTGTTATGCTTATAGCAAACGGCAGCAATCTTTTCCGCACAAACGACGCGTAGTAAAGAGCAAAAACAATAAAAAAAAGGGTTAAGGGTATTAAAGCCTTTCTGCGCATCACAGCTGGCAGTTTCCAAACATAGGGTTTCGAAAGTACATTAGTTCCCGACATAACAAGGTTATCTTCTCCTAGCGGCTCGTACTCTCTTTCCCAACGTTGGTGTTGGATCTAATTATTAGAAAAAAAAAGATGGTGGTGTTGGATCTGTCGGATCAGAATGAGAGTTATTTTGGGAGATCGCGAATAACAACTCTTTTTTCCTCGAAGAGTTGGGAAGAGGGAACGCAACAAAGTGTCCAGATCAGCTAGGAGAGCACTCTGGTATCCATCTTGCTTCATTTATTTATTTTCAAAGATGTTCCTTACGAAAGATCTGATTTTTCATGGATTGTTAGGGATTTTTGTGGTTTTGAATTTTCTTTCCTGAGAACGGATGGGATATGGGCTAATTTAAGTCGTCATGGTAATATAAGGTTTGTGAAAACAATGAAAAAGATGAAGATTTCCGTAGAATCTAACATATTTACTACTATGGTGTATGCTTGTTTTGTCTATGTGATGTTAGGAACTCATTTACTACTATGGTGTATGCTTGTTTTGTCTATGTGATGTTAGGAACTCATTTACTACTATGGTGTATGCTTGTTTTGTCTATGTGATGTTAGGAACTCATTTACTACTATGGTGTATGCTTGTTTTGTCTATGTGATGTTAGGAACTCTGTTTTCGAATTTTATTTTTAAAAGAACGATTTTTCTCAAGTCATGGATCTGAGACATGGGATGAATTGTAATGATAGTTTTGATGTGGCTATGTTCCTTGAAGTTTTAACAATCAGTCCCTTCAAGTGTTGTCAGTTTATTTAACTAATTGGATTCCTTTGTTAGGTTTTGCAGACAAGATGTTCGTCAGTGTTTGACTTGTTTGTAAAGACTCGGATGTGTTGTTTGCGAGCAACAAAGACGATGAAAAAGGCAAACCTGCTGCTATGCTTCCCAAGCCTAGTATGGAGGAGTTCCGATGGATGGTCTATGCAGTTGCAATCCAGGTAACTACAAGTTTTGTGGATTGTTGAATGCTATTGGTTGCTCTTTATCTGGTGTGTCGTAGACAAAACAAGAGAGATTGAATATTCTGAGAATGTAAGGGCTGTAATGAGCTGAACTATTATTGATGATTATTAGTACACAAAGCGCATACAAAGTGTAAACTAATCTATACCAGATTCTGTTGCTTTCACTCTTCACAACTCTTAGAAAGCAGTTACAAGCTACGTGTTGTATACTTAGTTCTATAAAACTAACTCTCGAACCATTTTGGTAACTTATTAACATAATTATCATCAAAGTAGAATCTGATTTAGGAATCAATGGACAGTTAGGTGCGCTTGGATTTTTCCTTCTCCATAGGTTGTCTGTCGTAATCAGCCTAAGTTTCGAGAGTCCATCAAAGGCATATTGGTCGGAGATGCGATAATTGCAGAATTTGTTCTTGTTGATTAGTCACCCTCCTGTTGTAAGGCGAGCTCCCTCGCTTGAGCATGATTGGTGCAGCGTGACCTCTCCTTGTTAGAAGTTGACATCTCAAGGCGAGGAATGTGATTTCAAGATTGAAGCAGCTGACGGTAGTAGTATTGAGAGTGAGGATGATACTGTGGGTGAAATTACAACTTTTTTTAAGTAATCTTTATTCCTCTTCTAGCGGCCAGTTTAGAGGTATTGAAGGTTTGGAGTGGAGTCCAATATCGGAGACGGCAGCGGCTGATTTGGAGAAACCGTTCGAGGAGGATGAGGTAAAAAGGGAAGTTTTTGGGCGCGAAGGGAATAAGTCTCCGGGGCCGGATGTGTATATATTGTCACTTTTTCAAGCTTGTTGGGAAGGTTTTAAAAAGCGCCTGAGGCGTGCGCCTCAAGGCGCACCTCGTGGTGAGGCGCTTCAAAACTGCCTCAAAGGGTAAGCTTTGAGGGTGGGGGAATGAGGCGCACGCCTCAGGTAGCACCTCAAAGGGTAAACTGGTTGTTCTCTGTCTAATAGCCTCTTATAAAGAACCTACATACAAGAAAACAAGACGTATGACCATAAACGTCTACAAAATCTAATTGCAAACCAAAGAAAAATGCTATTGACAAATCTAAAATCTTGGTAATACACATTTCCTGAAAGCATGTAAAAATTTTTACTAAATGCTGTTGTACACACACAAATTTCGCATTAACATTGATCACGAGTTCCATGGCATGCGAAAGAAAGCTGAGGAATAACTGCAATCCATTCGAGGTAATTATCTATCACACACGAGCTTCCAACAAATATAAGTGTTAAAATACGAAAAAAAGGTAAAAAATCAAACCTCTACGCAATTTTTCCGGAACATAGAACACGCGGGAACAGATATAGTCTTTGGATGACAACTCCAGAGTAGGCCATCTCACAATCTACTTCCTTTTTGACAAACAAATAATCTAGCTCTAAACAGTCAACTGGGACCATCGGAGAAATTTCCCCATCTCCTAATTCTTCAAGATCAAAAGTAACCTTCAATTCACAAACCAGCAATCCGTCACATGAAAAGGAAATATTGCAAGAAACTACAACATCTTCAACAACAGTAATAGTACTATTAACCATACCTCGTTCTCACCGATCATTAGCCAAAGATGTTTTCTTTGAGGTGTAGCTCCAAGAAATTTCCGCAAGTCAAGGAACCAAGAACTAAAAGTTCGACTCTGTGTAAGCATTGAATACTTAAATCTCCATTGGACATGGAACGTTCTTGGAAAAGAAGAGAGGCATGTTATTATAAGCCGTGAATCTGAAAGACAATAGAGTTGGAGCATCAATTTCAATCACCTCAATATTTTGACCGGGCCTTAGTTCAAGTCTCTTAAGCCGCTGCGCGGAAATTCTAATCCTTCGCAACATACGGCAATCAACTATGTCGAGGTTCTCAAGGAGGGGAAATCTAGAAAGATGCGAATGAAACGAGTCATCCGTGATGCGACAATTGCTTAGAACTAGTTCCTTCAGATGATGACAAGAAGTCAAATTCACGCTACAAGGTAATCGTAGTACATAAGACCGGAAAATGAATTGCTTAAGATTTGGTGCATCAATATCAACTCTCTCAAGTTCTTGTATGCGTGGAACCCCTATTACAACTACCTCAAGTTTATCAAGTTTAGAAATCTCAATAGTTTTCAGTCCAAGCAAATTCCAGAGCTCAAAATACTCAAGGTTAGGACAGTTGCGGATGATCTTTTGAATAATATCTCCGCTTATGGAAATGCATTCCAGTGTTAGCTTTCGAAGAGAATAAAACTTGGAATAAACATCTATTGATCTGACGACAAATGTTGTTTCAGGCAGAGCATAATAACGCCTCTCATCACCACCATTGACACCAACATATAAGAAAATCTCCTGAACACCGTTATCAAGAGCTAACGTCATCCATGGATCAATCATCGAAAACAACTTATCATCACGAAAGATCACAAAGAGATTAAATGTCTGCATTCGCAATTTCTTCCCAATGAAACTATGCAAGGACTTTTCCACCAGGTTCATTACGTCTGGGGCTTTCTTCCGATCAGTTTCTCTAATATCAAATATAGGAAAGGAATTCCAAATCGAATTCCATCTTTTAGACAATACACACGTTCTGTTTGCATCTTTTCTGGGAAGAAACGACAATATTTGATGCAATATAAAGTCAGGTAAGTTAGAGAACTCGATCCACCTTATCGATTTCTCCGTCCATTACCTAATAACATAAGAGCAATCACATTCATTCATATATTTTTGTGTCACAGGTAAAGAAATCTAAGCAAATAATTTCTTTTCTAAATCACGAATCTTCAAAACATCCCAATAAAACAAAAAGGTTTACATTGTTATTAATATATAACAAAACCTAAATACGCATAAATCTAAGAAAAGCAAAGTAAAAAAAAAGAGTTTACCTCTATTATTTATATCTATAAACACTATTTTAATCGGATCTCTCTCTCTCTACGTTGCTTTTTATACTTTTGTTTTCTCTTTCGTAGTTCGACTCTAAAGAGGCCTTCGTAAAAATAACTCTTTTGAAAAGTTTTATTAGTAAAAAAACTTTTTAAAAAATTTTATTTATAAAATGACCTCATTTTACAAAAAATGAGTAAATGTCTTTCTTCATAAAAAAATAAAAGAATGTCATTTTACTAATTTCACTTTGTTGGAAAGTCATTTTAACATATTACCCGATTCGAAATCGAATTTGCCAACCAGATATTCGAATCCTAGTGGTTTCCGAAGTCTCTAGCAGTTTCCTCACATCTGCTTTATAGTTGTAGCAAACGGCAGCCAACTTTTCCGCACAAACGACGCGCTGTAAAGGGCAAAAAACAATATAAAAAAAAGGGTTAAGGGTATTATAGCCTTTCTGCGCTCACAGCTGGCAGTTTCCGAACATAGGGTTTCGAAAGTACATTAGTTCCCGACATAACGAGGTTATCTTCCCCTAGCGGCTCGTACTCTCTTTCTCAACGTTGGTGTTGGATCTAATTATCAAAAAAAAAAAAAAAAACGTTGGTGTTGGATCTGTCGGATTAGAAGGAGAGTTGATTTGGGAGATCACGAAGAAAAACTCTTTTTTCCTCGAAGAGTTGGGAAGAAGGAACGCAAAAAAGTGTCCAGATCAGCTAGGGGAGCACTCTGGTATCCATCTTGCTTTATTTATTTATTTATTTATTTATTTATTTATTTATATTCAAAGACGTTCCTTATGAAAATATTCGTGTATGCCCCACTGACCTTTTTTTTTATTTTATATCCAGATTTCTTTTACAAACTGAACTATTTTATTCATAATCTACCGTAATATCTTTTATGGTAGCTTATATTTTGGACTACGTCATATTTTTATTATCACATTTTAAATTCATGTTAAATCCTTACTTTTCTATGATGTGTGGTTGATTTTAACTATGGAAAAAACCTAATATTAAAAACATGTTGCAATTTTTTCCTTTTTTTATTTTATTAAGGGCGCTTTGATCTGTTTTGTAGCTATATTAACCACTTATTGTTGAAATGAAAGAATGCATCATAATTTTAAAATTTGAACCTATGAATATAATACAATCTAGAATATAGGGTATGATATTTAATGAAATGTATATACTCAATTTTATTCTCATCAGTAGTGCGCAATTATGAACCTCAGATTTAATCAAAATTACATTAAAAATAAAAACAAATGCAAAACAAACAATCTTTTAATGAAAAAATTAAGTTTCAAGACAAAGTCTTATAATGGGGTATTTTTTCATACTATGAAATTCTCAACATGTATCTAATAGTTCTTAAAAAACATTATACTACAATTCTTTGTATATCTCTTATGTTATTTGTTTTTTGAAAAAATAAAGTGTAAACTTGCCCTCATTAAAGTAAAAAATTGATTCCGTCACCGCTCACTATAGCCCCAACTCGCACCTTCCCCTTTGCTTCGTCTTTGTTTTGGTCGAGCTTGCACAAGGTGCTTTAATTGAGCTTTAGGTTTGAAGATTTAGGAATTCTAAGGTTAAGGTTTTGAAGGGTTGGGATTAAATCACTATGTATACAAATATGTTTTAGTGGTATAGAATCTGAATATTTTAAAATGTATGTGTAATATAGAAACTTATACCTCAAGTTTACCATCCTCCATAGATTTATAAGATTTGGCATACATTTCAAAGTTATTTGATTAATAAAAATAGAGATTCTCTTATACGCTTGACGAATCGATATATTAGTTTTTTTTAATCATTAAATTTATTTTTTTTTTAATTTTTAAGTGATTTTATACAGATTTAATAAATAAAAAATTTAATTTATAATTATATTAAGAATCTCCATAATAATAATATATTTTACAATTAGAAAGGTTTTACAGAGTACGTGGGCGATAAGGAATATAATTAAAAAATTAAAGTCTCGTTCATTTCACTGATTATAATTTAGAATTTGAGTTTTACAACAGTAAAAAGCTCTCAGAAATAATTCATCTAACTTTTTTTATTACAGTAAAAAATTTTCACATAAAATTATATCTCAACTTAAATTAAAAATTCGAATCAACGAACTAAACGGGCTCAAATTTATTATCAGACGCACAGCTGAAATTGAAGAAAGAGAATCTGTGGTGGGCCCATGTATTTAATGCATACTCCAAGTTAACCGGGTAGAGGTGTGTGTTAGAAAGAGTGGCATTTTTTTAATGAGGTGGCATGAATTGATTAAAGGAGATAGAGAAGAGGACAGACAAAAGAGAAGAACATCTGAGTTCAAACTGCGACAGAGAGGAGGAAAACAGAGAGAAGATGAGAGGGCAAAGGGGAGAGAGGGAATATATTTTTTTTATAAATAAATGTATTGTTCATTTTACCGATTTGAGTTTTCAGTTTTAAATTTTTACAGTTAAAAACTTTTAAAAAATGTCATATCTAACTTTTTTTGTTACAGTTAATAACTCTCAGAAAATATCACATCTTAACTTGAATTAAAAATCAAATCCGAACTAAACTAAAGTTTTTCTATTGTTATTTTTAGGTTTAGCCTTTGATCCGGCAAGCACTTTTTGCCTAACCTGTCCGGCGGAAAAATGAGAGACATCAGATCAAAAGGGACGGTAAGAAGTTATAGCCCGTTTAGTTCACTGATTCGAGTTTTTAATTCGACTTGAAATATGATTTTATGTGAGAGTTTTTTACTGTAGCAAAAAAGTTAGATGTGACTGTTTCTGAGAACTTTTTACTGTAACAAAACTCGAATTCTAAACTCAAATCGGTGAAATAAACGGGGCCTTAATGAGTTAATAATATGAGAAGTAAAAGGTAGCCTTGGTGCACTGTAGGATAAGCTTGTGGTGTCCACGTGTTAGTCAGGCAGGGAGTGATGCAGTGGGTGTCTGGGAAGTTGTTGACAAATGGTGAGGGCTTAGGGATCGTGTCAGTGTGTGAAATGTGATAATAATTTTGGAAGGGTAGAGTTGTAAATGTGGTCAAATAAAAGGGGAAGGAGAACGACAATGTAACGAGTGTATTTTTTAAGGGCCGTTTAGTTTGATGATTTGAGCTTTTAATTTGAATTGAGATGTGATTTTATATAAGAATTTTTTACTGTAGTAAAAAAGTTAAATATCACTGTTTCTGAAAATTTTTTACTGTAAAAAAAAATAAATTGTAAATTTACATCGATAAAATAAATGAAACCTTAATAAGTAATATGTAGCAACAAAGGTTGAAATCGGCAACATTTGTGGTTTATTACTCATTACTCCCTTTAGGTTTAGGACGTGGCTTATTAGACTGTGGAAGACATGTAATTATGGTATAGGGGCTCAGGCCGTAGCTAATTATCTAAGTCCTATGGTTTTCGCAAAGACTCCCGGGATGTTATTTTCTTTATATATTTAGATTTATATTTATGGATGCATTTTATTAATTACACTTAAGAGATATTTAATTCATAAATTAAAATTATGTGATTAAAATTATTTTTAATTTACATATATTTTTTAAGAGAGAAAATATTATAATGAATTATAAATTATGATTTAAATTAGAGAACGAATCTAAGTAATAAATATCCCCTTAATCCCAGAGGTGTTATCATTACGTAGGACATTTCTGACCGTTTGTACGAAACTCTAATATAATGTAAGACTTTTACCATCTAAAAGTGGATTTCAACATGTTATTCTAATTTTTTTATCTTAGTGACAATGTCGTTATTAATTATTTATCATGTTGTTTAAAATTAAAAATCTAATTAAATAAATAGTTAAGAATAAAATATTAAAAATACTTAAATAATTCATGAAATGTTAAAATTTAAATTGAAAAAACAAGAAAAATAAGACAACAAATTTTAATTCATAAAAGTGAATGTCGCGGACCATTAGAATTGGAGCTATAATTGGGAAGTTATGAAACCTTTACTTTCAAAACCGCCAAGCAAGCAAATCCAAACGCATGAGGCATATTATTCTATGGCAAACAAGAAATTACGACGTTTTGAAATTGAAGGACAAAAGAAGATCCCACCTTAAGCTCTTAGAAATCGGTACACAAATTAAAAACAAAAAAATCAAAAAAACAAAAACAAAAACAAAACAAAAACAGAAACAAACCTTCAAAAACAAATATATTCAAATTACATCAAACCATTCAAATACGTAGCTATATATAAATCTTGAAACATAAAAGCCGCATTTTCTAAATGAAAAAACAATACAAGCCCCTCTTAAATTACATGGACAGCCTCATAAGGTATTCTCCATTTTTTTTTTCCATTTTTTTTTATTGGGTAATTGCAACTGATGCAACTTCAGATACTTTTTCTGCCTCAGTGTTTTCCTTCTCCTGCTCATCCTTTGGCTCTTTCTGTTCTTCTGTTTCTGATGGATCTTCCGGTTTCTTCTCATCCTCCATCTTTTCTTCCTTTTCTACAGTCTGTCATATATGTGTATAAGAGAAAATGATATATAAATCTGTGTTTCTGTATATACATGTATAGATATATATACACAATACAGATAATTTGCAGGAGTCACGAATATAAAGATATTTCAAGTACGTTTAGGGTATGTTTAGTATACCGTATAAGTATTTCGTATTGTATTATTTAATAATAATACAATGTTTGGAGATATTTACACTTTGTATAATTTAATGAGATTTAAAATTAATACAATATGAAATGTGATATCTAATACCAAAAAAACCTATGTAGTAGACCGTATTATGCAATTTAACTTAAAATATCATATTAAAAACATATAAAATATTTCACAAACATCAAGGCTCAAGATTGGATTTTGGGACTGACGTTGGGAGTTTCGGGACTAGAGTAATGTTGGGTTTATATTTTTAAAAATTACATTAGACCCCTTAACTTTTAAAAAATATATTTTGACTCTTAAACTTTTAAAAAATTATGTTTGATCCCTAAACTTTTAAAAATTATATTTTGAGCCCTCAACTTTTTTAAAATTATACTTTTGCCCTGTAATTTTATTTGAAAATTACAATTTGACTCATTTTAAAATATTTTTGTAAAAAGACGCCATGTAGCAACTCTATTTTCTCTCTTGTTTCCTCCAAATGTTAGGTTCGGGTTGAGATTAGTGTCGAATTAGATTATAATTATGTTTAAATTTTACCTTATTTCAATCTAATACGTAAATAGATTATATTAGTAAAAATAGTATAATATTTAGTAATATCACCAATCAAGACACCGTATTGCATAAAAATTATACAATACAATATAATACAATACAATATAATACAATATAATATAATACAATATAATACAATATAATATAATATAATACGGTGCACTCAACATATATTGCACTTATAGACAAATAACTATATACAAAAAACCCTCACATGTTAGTTATTAATGATTCGTTGACGCAATGCACGCTATATTTATTGAGAGAGCAAAAATGTAAAGAAAACAAAGCAAAACATTTTCTGCGTTAAAAACACACGTGTAGACATGAACACACAGATGTATATATGTGGCCGTCGTATGTGTTTGTGTATTTATTTATATACATGTACAAGGTGATATATAATTTACGCATGTCTATTATCATGGAAGAATCATACCCGATCCTGTGCAATTCAATACACACACAAAGATATATCCTCTATATTGTCTGGCCTTTTTCTCAAAACCTATATATCATCTAGTTCATATTATACATATATATTTGTCAAATCTATTATTATTATTATTATTACTATTATTATTAAAGTTCAACAAAATGCATAATTACCTCGGTGAGCAAGGCCACGAGAGATGGCTGGTTGTTGTCATCGACGGGCTTAACCTCAGTATCATCAGAATCCTTCTTCTCCGCATCAGCATTGCTGTCGTCAGCAGTTATCGTCTTTTCTTCTTGCTCTACCCTAACGGCGGCTTCTTCAGTACTATTGGCCTTCTCCGATTCTTCCTTCGAAATCTCCGGTGCCAGTGCCGGTGCCGGGACGTTGGCGTCTTCGTCTCCCTTTGTCTTCGGGGCACTACCACAATTACCCATATTGCTAGCTGTTTGTTTCCCGAGAAAAACAAAAGGAATCGATCGACCTAGCTCTCTTTCTCTTTCTTTCTCTCTCTAGATGCTAGTGAGAGAAAGATTTGCAAAGGAGATCTCCAAGGAGAGAAAATGATGAAAAAATTATTTGATGAGAGGCAATGTTAGAGCTAGATTATAGGCTTTTTATAGCGCCCATCTTAAGGCAATTGACATTTTGTGCCAGACATTCTATATACGTACGTATGGCAAGGAATATTTTAAGGAAGGGTTTGTTGTCAAATTCATACATATATAGTAATAAATAATAATTAGCAATCTGTATATGCTTCAAGCTTAGTTATTAGCAGTTGGGTAGATTGCCAATCACAGCCTGTAACAATTTTCTTGTTACCCTCTCTAATTTTATTTTCTTTTTTTTTTAATCGATTTCTTGTTGCCCTTTGCATTAATTATAAGAACAGTAATTTTCATTTAGAAATTGAAAAGGAAAGCATATATGTCGTAAGGAACATTTTTTGGCCGATATTAATGTACAAATCGAATAGCCCTCTTACTCATTTAGATTTATTTCCAATTTTAATCCTCAAACTTGCCAGCCAAGAAATTGATCGAAACAGAAAATTTTAATATAAAAATAAGGGTAAATTACCTAAATATATAACTTTCTAATTTGAATTTTTTTTCTCAATTTATCCCTTTATTTCTAGAAACTACAAAGATTTTCTATAAATTTGAAAAATTCGGTCAATTTCCACTCTCGCATACTTTTTTTTTACTAAAAAGACAAAAATACCCTGATATAATTTCTATAAATATTTTAAAAGATTTTTTGTAGGGGATTTTAAAAGATTTTTATGTGCAGCGTATTTGCAATTCCTCACAAGAAAATTGTCTTTTTTTTAGGGTTTTGATGTTTTGAAGTATCTTAAAATAATTTATTTTCTCCCTTCAAAAAATATGATTTATTTTCTTTTTTTTTTAGAAAGAAAAATAGTTTATGAATTAAGCGTTTTTATCTTTTCATTCTCTTTTCGTCCAATAATTTTGCAAAGGATAAAATTCAAACATATTTGTCTCTTCTAAAAGATGTACGTGCCTGGGGTGGAGCTTAGTACGACGTTCTCGTCTTGTATTAAAAAATTGGTCTTCTAATTTTAAAAAATATAGACCTATATTGAATATTGAAGCAAAAGATACATGAACATTATCGTCCCATAAAAACAAAATATTGTTGCAATTAACCACTTTAAGCTTTTTAATATTAAAAGTTAAAAAGAAGTGACGCCATCATTTTTGTTTTCAATATATCCTCCCTAAATTATTATAAATCGGTAAATTGACCCTTTAAAGAAGAGTTTCAGCATTCAGTTCAAATTCGAAATTCTTATATAGCAAAATTACATGAATTATTGATACTAAATAAAATAGAGTTTTGATGAATTTAAACACGTGCATGTCACCTGAGCCATTTGAGGGATAAATCTAGGAAAGAGAAAAAAATGAAGAGCCTGTTTAGCTCGTTGATTCGAATTTTTAATTCGAATTGATATGCGACTTTATGGGAAAATTTTTTTACTGTAGTAAAAAAGTTAGATGTGATTATTTCTAAAAGCTTTTTACTGGAGCAAAACTCGAATTCTAAACTCAAATCGGTGAATTAACGGGGCCGAAGTTTCATAGAAAATATTAATAAAATTGACTGAAAACGAAAGGGGCACGTATCTAATATTTTAGGATTCTTTTCATCAATGCCCTTCGAATTATAGGCTTTATGTAATTTTCCTTTCGATTTTTTCAAAATGGACATTTGTTTGCACACACTTAACTTTTATAAAACTGTTAAAAACACCCATTCCATGCAAATCTGCCTATAATAGAAAAAGATGGCTGACATAACACTAATTGTAATTTAATTGTAAATTTTGGCTGAGATTTTTTTGTCTAAAATTATAATGTCTAATCAATCATATCAAATCATGTCGTGTAAAAAAAATTAAACTACTTTTTGACTAATTAATTTGTACTTATTATGAGATGGTGTGGTATAATTTAATCGGTTAAATAACAGTTAGGATAGCAACTTCAACGGTGCTGTGTCCCGTAGCAGAACAAGCCCACCACTCCTCCAACACAATTGACATGGAAGCCGCCGGCTGCCGGTGTAGCCCAACCGATCTCTGATCAAATTAGCCCGTCGTCCCTGAAGCTTGGTCTCCAAAATGAAGACTAGAGAACGGGAAACACTCGGGATTAACATCCTAATTCTTTTAAAGTGGTTATTTGACCATGGTTGCGTCCTAATTTCTTTTCAAGTGGTCATCGAACCAGCTCATTAACTGCATAAAAGTGTTTGAAAACATTCATTTGTCGTAATTTGTCAACAGAAGAAATAGAATGGTTGACATGGCATATTCAAAGATAGTTAATGAGGCATAATTTAGTATGATTGCCTTCCTAAAATTTGGTAGGATTTAATAAAACTCTTGTGTTTTGATAAAGATTACAATAAGCTCCTGCAATTTAAATCTATAAAGTTGGGTATATATGGACTAATAGAAAAACACAGAAATAGACAATGAGGGGGGGAAAAAAAACTATGAGATTTCTAGTATTTTGTATGGTATTAATTTAGTTTATTTATTTTTCTTTTTTTTAATTTTGACTCAAGCCCCCTCTAAGAAAATGAAAAATCGTTGAAAACTATTTTTACATTGTCATTTTCATTTTTTAAGGTTATAATTACAATTTCATTTTTTTAATGCCAAAACAATCTCTAAGAGAAAAAAAAATAAAAAATAAAAAAAAAACAAACAATTTCAGAAACAGTACTGGCATCATTTCTCAAAAAAATTCTCATTTTAATATTTATACTCAAAAACAAAACTATTTTAAAAACGTTAAGAGAGACTCTTTGTTTGTTTCTTTCTTACAAATTTTATTTTTAGGAAACCTAATTTCTAAGTCGGGCCCACTCTATGCGGAGATTCTCACGTTTCTGTCTGTTCTCCAACACATATTAGGACCAAAAAGGTCGTAACCAATCGCTACTCTCCACATATCACGGAGATAATTCCATATTTTGCAAATAGCCGGTTTAATTTATTAATTTAAATTTTTAATTTGATTTGAGATGTAATTTTATATAAAAAAATTTTATTATAATAAAAAAATTAAATATAATTTTTTATAAAAATTTTTAACCGTAATAAAATTTAAATTTAAATTTAGATCGGTCAAATAAATTAAGTCAAGTTGCAGAGTCAGTGTCGGCGTCGGCGGGTTTAG